GACGATTTAAAAAGGCTATCAAATAAAATTAAAACGCTATAATGCAGACTTTAAAAGACAATAATATATATTTATAGAATGTAACAGTGAGAGGTTATAGAAATATTTGAGTTAGTGTACAAATGGGAAGTTAAAATTTATACATTGTGTAATTGTGCAAAGTTCAGAGTTAAGAAACATTCAGAAACTACAACCTGCATCTACCTAAATGACTACATTGCAATGCATTTACAGTCTGAAATATATCGATGTATATCAATAAAGGCAATATTAAAATTAATCAGCATAATTTTGTTTTATGCATAAACATCTATTTATTCTAAATCAAAAGGATTCTGGATTTTGTCTAAATTTTATAACAATACAACTTTAGGTTTGCAAATTCCAAGCAAAATTATTGCCTTATATTTCACCCTGCACCACACTCTAAAAACAACCAAATATTTTACTGGGCCTGTCTCATAACAACTGGCTTTAATCAAGAGATCCTTCAGAGACAAAAAAAGAAGAGCATTTTTTTTTTCTTTTTTTTTTAACCGATTCAAGCCCTTTCCTTTCTTCTAAAACTACGTCATTTTGAGTAAGTAATGATACCATTTCATGTCTTTAAGTGATACTCTGATGTTCCTGTGCTATAAGTGTAACAGCGGCGGCCGTTACTGCGGCTAGACGACTGCAGCGCAACTCCATTACCTCACATATAATCAGAGCGCAGACAGCTGACTGGCTGATTAATGGCTTCAACCTGGCCGGCACGCCTGCACGAAGATGCTGCCCGAGCAAAGAGCTGCCATTAGTGGCACTCACGATATGAGTTTAGAATAAACAGAATCAACAGGCCTGTCAACAACACAGCCGCATCCAAAACAAGCCTGCCTCTAGGGGCGCTCAAAGATCCAAGACGCTTCAGAAAAGAAAACGTTCGCCTGTGTTAGAAAGAAACAAAATAATCCTTCAGATAAGTTGGATGAATTAAATATGAGGATCTTGGACTAATTTGTTTAGTCACATTAACACCTTAAACAGTGGGGAAAAGTTTTCAGGGGCACACATTTAAGATTGCAGAAACATGTTAAACCAATAGACTTATATGTGTATTAAATGATGAAATAAATAGTGATTAAGGTCAATGCATAACATGCACTGATGATAAAGGTTAATGCAAATATTTATAACAGCGGCAAAAATAAAGAACTTCGCTTGAGTCACTGTGTGCACAAAGGTCATTCAAATGTTTGAATATCCAGATTTGCCTCAGGTTTAACCCCACCTGCTGTTTGTCCACTCTGATTCCAGCCAAATGCAAAGCAGGGCTTATAAAAAACGTCTGGATTTTACAGGCTTTTAGGATTATTATTAATATTTGTGTGTGTGTGTGTGTGTGTGAGAATGGAGAAACCTGAATTTCATTAAGTTCAAAATCTGAAAAAGGTCTGCTGATTAGGTGGTTTCAGTTTTCTCTTTCAATCTGCTGCTATCTCCAGAATCAGTGTCTGGCAGGAGAAATCCCCACCAGTAATGTCTTCTCAGTATAGATGGCATCAGCGCACATGACTGCCAAATTCCTTCCACTTAATTATCTCTGAGCGATCCTTTCAAGTCGAGGTCACGAGAGGAAAACTATGAAATCAACCATAAAACTGGTCAATGGTACAATTATATTTTAAAATGGGAAAATCACTCCTTCCAGGACAGGCTGTAACTTTGCCTAATTTTTATCTTATTATTTACATTTTTCATTCGTTTCTCAAATTAAAGATTTATTGCTCTTGTGCATTGACAAAATAGGTTTATATATCTGCCACATTACTGCAAACTTCTTCGAAGAAATAAAAGCAGTAAAAGAAGACACAGTTCATAAAGTACAAAAAGAACTACTATCTAGCAATTAGAAGCCAACTCAGAGCATTTATGGGCAAAAGCTTTGGGGCATTCTAGCTGAAAGTAATCATTACTTTTTTTTCTTTCTAATATGGTTATATTAAAAACATCTTCCTTAAAAGCAAAGTGTGACTGAATAAATCAGGTTCTGGTCTTGATCTGAGATGAGCTGGAGGTCAGATATTTGGCTGCCTGAGTGAACATCAGCTGACCAGAGTGAGGCATGAGGATGGTGGTGGTATGCTAATGTGGTTGGAGAAAGCAGCTTTCTTCTAGTAAGAGGAAAAATAAATCTCTGCTTTGGTATCTTAAACCCCAAAAAAGCCCCAAAAGGCTGGAAAAAGAAGAATAAAGCAGTGGAATTTTTTATACTTTTAAGACATAGAAAGAAAATGGATTTATTCAAAACAAAGTTTCTCCAACCAAAAACTAATATACATGTAATGGTGTATAGAGTATATGACACGTGTTATTACCACATGTAACACATGTTATGTATTAATTTCTCATATGCATAAATAATGTATAATCATGTAGTTAGTGTAAATCTTAAAAGTAAACAGGAACAAAACTTTTCAAGACTCAAGTTTTTATGAACGATATTCCCTAAAATGCTTAAATGATATTGCTTCATGTTATAAGTGTTTTTTTGTTTTGTTTTTTGGTTTAAAAAAATTAAAAAAAAAAACATGCCACAGTAATTTAAATATCATAAAAGCAAAACAAAAAAAAATGTTAATCCCTGATTTTAATGAAGACAAAATCTACAACAAATTGTAGAGACTGAGAACTGAAGCAAGGTGATGCTCTATTCCTGTTTCATCTCCCTCAGATTTATATCAAACCCTTAACATTTCTTAGTAAAGTAATTACACATTTTGAGAAATCCTTCCCACATGAATCTAAACCGAGAGAAAGTCAGAGTACCTATAGAAACCCTACAGAGGGAATAAAACTCAGGTGTTGTAAGGCACAATGATCAGCTTGTTAAACTCATTCAAATCAAAATTCTTAACTGTGTATTTTTACTTAGTAAAGGTTAAAACCCTTTATTCTATACAAATACTACAAATAGCTAGTCTTATACCCAATGGTTGAAATATTTAAGTGGTACTATGAGTCATCTACAGTAGCATTATTCTATTCTTAATTTTAGCTGCGAGATGTTTGAAGGGTTTCTTAAATATATTCCTCATCCAACTCACCACACAGCCTCTCAGTCTAAGGCAGGTCTCATTTAAAAGATTGAGGAAGGACAGTATTTTATCACATTCAACAAACCATATTTACATTTTCTCTCATTCTTAATGTTACATTTATATTACTTTGTTTTGTTTGAACTGATATTTATATATCTGCATGTCTTGATATGTGAAGGTTTTGATAGAGTTGTCTGGGGAATAAGCACAGAGAGCAGTATTTATAATATCTAAAGCTGTGCATGCTAATGATGCTAATAGTTAATTTAAGATGCTAAAGGCAGTTTTAAATATTTTTCTGCACATATGCTATCTCACACAAATAGGGTGATGTCTAAATAAATGATGGCCTCTCGTGGCAGGTGGGTCAAAAAATTATATCAATGCAGTTTCTCAGCAGATCAAAGCTCAGCAAATTAATGCAGCTTCAAAACCTCAAACTACAATTTTATAATAATCTATCAGGTATTAAGCTAATCAAATTTCCTGATTACCAAGGAGCATTTTTCATTACGACTGTAAATCAGAATTTTAACATTTAATCTGTTAATTCATCTTTTCCCAGACAATCCATTCTCTGCAGTCGGGGAACAGTGGATACATCAGTTATGTATTCTAGAGAGGAAATCATTCACACATCTACATTTCATTTCTTCATTAAACACGCAGCTGGTTTTCTTTAGATTCATTAAAATTTAAATTCATTTGAAATCATCCAAACCATTTGTTATGCTATTATTTCCCTTCTAGCATCATTTGTTTTTTAATGACCATGGCACTTTATGAAAACTTAATAAGTGATGCAATAGAGCTCACAAAAATCCAATGAGATCATGCTTCCTGTGGGACAGCCTTTAGGGTTTAGAGATTATAAATACATATAGAAAGGCTCTGCTGAAAAAGGCTGCGCTTGAACTGAAATCAAACAACAGGAGATATCAGCCCTTGAATATTAATGAATAATATGCTTCATGCACCCATAAAATAAAAAAAAAAAATGACTGCCTTGATTCCCCTGAGATTGCTCTCAAACATACACTGGTCAAGTCCTGGCAAGTATTGGTTCAAATTTTGAGAGAGCAAAATTTGAACCAATAGTTTGAGTCTAATATCAACATAGCGGCGATGGACTTTAATCCAAAACTATGACGGCTGGACGTCTGTGGGCAGCTTGATGTGTCACTGACACAAATAAACATCACTACAGGCCACAAATACCTACCTCCAAACCAGTCCGCTGAGTGGCAGCTCAACATCTGGCATGTGCATCACTAAGCAAACATGGAGTAAGTCCTTGTGAACAAAAAAAGGAAACTAAAGCCTTAACCATATTTTCTGTTTACGTTCCTTCTAAAAAGATGCTGCAGAACGTCGCTGATTCATAGACATGGCTATATGCAGTCTGTTGCTGTGGCAGCCTTGGGTTAAGACCACAGGCCTCAGGAGGCCAAGGCCTCTCACATCTGGACAGCTCTGAAGCAGCTGGATGTAACTCAAAAATAATTGCTTCCTCTACAGTGTCCAGGAAAACACCAAGTGACTGCCATGCTCACCGCTCCTCCCTGCAGGGAAGGCAACTAAATCAACATTTTAAGGCCGTTTATCATCTTCTGACTTTGAAGCCTTTGTTTGGAAGGCAGCAAAAGGTACAAGATAACCAGTTTGATTCTGGCAGGTCAGGGCTGAGAACACAGTGCTGGAAATGCTGCATGTTACTAAAGCATCAAACTAAAGGAAGATATTAGTCATGCTTCAGGCTAAATTGTTTTCTCCACTACATATGCTCTATACTTTTCAAACAGGCCTTATCAAAATATGGCCTTAATTTAAAAAAGCTAAAAATAAGCCCAAAAACTTTAAATACTCAATAACTCTAATTTCCATGAGTAACAGATATGAGTGTGATTCTCTTATTGGTACCGTGAGCAAAACGATGAACCCAGTAGTAGCAGAAATCCACTCCAAGGAAGGTTAGCCACCAGGTCCATGCAGAATCCCAAGGTAGCTCCAACAGGCGGAAGTGGTTCCACACATACATGTAAGCCGACAGCTCACAGCCTCTCATCACCAGCCTGGGCAAGGGATGCAGTCAAAACTCAGAATAAGTTCAAACTGTTCTCACAAATGCATTTTTTATTTCTCTAAATTGGGGAACTGGGGGAGAAACAGACTTGTTGGTATGTATTTTAGTACTTTCTGGTGAATGGATAAATTCAGGGCAATCCAGAGGTAAAACACACTGGAGGCTGCTAAACACTTACTGATGAGGCAGACATCAGCCAACTATGATGACTGTTGTTGTCGGAAAATTTTGATTTCTCTTATTTCATATATTAATGTATCCTATTTAATCACTATAAAAGTTTTCACTCAGTGTGTTTCACTTTCAAGGCCACACAATTCTCTGCATAAGGGTGTTAGTAGACCAGACATAGCTTCTTCCCATAACAAACCAGATTCTTTCTCAAGGTTCATTCATAACATGTTACTGTTAAACAAAGTGTCTGTAATTTGTTTTGACTCTGACTACTTTTCCATTATTGTAAGTAATGGGGAAGGAACGCTGCTCAGGCAGAACAGGGTAGAATACTGTGCCATGAAGGCTGTATGATGAATTGTTCTCTCTTTACAAAGATATGAAAATATGTGCCGACTGAGTTAAATCCATCGATCTCCGTTTATCCAACTAGGGTGAATAGTTGAATACTTTTTTTTTCCATTACACTCTACACATTCAACAATAAATTTGCAAGAATGGTTTCGACTAATGCATAAACAACCTAGTCAAAGCTCAGAGTCCACGTTAGAATCTGCACCAAGACTTTAAACATGGGTGTGGACAGTCATTCTCTATCTAATCACAAAGATCTCGATCCACTTTTGAAATATATATCAGCCATTTGTTTTCTGTAGATGTACAAAGCAATCAGAGGTATACCCCTAAGATCTGCAGCTATTATTGCTGCCCAGGGTTTTACAAAAGTACCAATGAAAGGATTGATTAAGATGGATTAAGTATAGATTCGTGACTCTTCTGATTTTTTTTTTTTATTCATTTTCTACCACATATTATAAAATGTATAAAATACATTATTATACACTTTTGCCATAGTTATATTTTCGTTCACTTTATATAATTTAAGATCTCTTTTTCAGATCCTCCCAGGTTTAATTTGTCTGCACTTTTCAAGCCTTTGATGAGGACATAACTAAAAGACTGCATTAAAACTAAATAAATGTGTCTTACTAAAGCAGTTTGCATTTAACATTTTACTCTAAGCGGGACCTTTCATTTACTTTCAACAACATAATTTTTTCCTGTGAAACAAAATGAAATAAAATGAAAAAGATAAAAAGACCTTTTAGAATATGCAGTGAAACCGTCTGTATCATTATTCCAATGTCTTCAAACTACAATAAATGGCCTATTTACATCTCTTAACTGTCCAGTGCACTTACAGGGGCAATCTAGAGATCATTCCAGCAGAAATGGAGGTGAGGCCGTCACTGAGCGTCACGACCGGTCTTCCTGTCATCATTGCACCCACCACCAGCTCCAGCAGCATCAGTCCCACAAAGAACGGAGTGGCCTGCGCATACAAAGCCAACCACAAACATACACAATCAGGACACTAAAACAATCCCACCATTTCAAGTCTGCTGTTGCTTTTACTAGTTGTACTAAAGAGGAGCGCTTGTTTTGGCAGATGAGCTGAATCCTTTCAGGACTTTCATGTGTTGTGGTCTGTGATGTTTGTTTCACTGAACAAGACCAGAGCAGCGGGTCTGAAGCCACTGTGATTTGGCAGATTTGAAAATGCAAACATTTATTTAAAAAAAGGAGCTGTAGAGGAAGAAACCATCTTAGTGGAAAAAACACATATCCGTGCTACCTAAATGGAAAAAGAAATTCGATTTTAAGTAGCATCATATGGCAGCTAAATAAAATATATCAAAGTAGGAGTGAAGATTTTGTCAGGAGACAATGCTTGTCTTGGTAGTCAGTGATGAAATGTAGTAAAACAAAGTAAACTAAATACTAAATACAGAAGAATTACAAAATGTTTAGAAGCAACAAGAAAATTTGTATTTGTTTGGGTATGTTTAATTACTTTGATACAACCTCCACTGATCTCCATATTGACAAAGCTGCTCGGAACTGTCAGACATCCTCAGTCAGAAGGAGTTATATCATTTTAATGATCACAAAATCAGCGAAGAGACTATTTAAACCTTTGAGGATGAAAGGTAAAAATAAAACATCAGTATGGACTCCATCAAGAATTACTGCCAGTATTCAGTCAAAGTAAATCCCTACTCTTAAATCTTATTATTTTGTTGATTACATGTTTTAACCATAAACAGCTGTAAAAGCTGATTTATGCAGCATTAGAGCCTTGACTGGACCATTGGGTTCCTTTAGTTGTCAACCTGTGGACTAATGAGAAGATACGTTGTCATGCAATCTAAAATACAGTATGTTCTATATTAGTTTCTGGCAGCCACATAATAGAATCCAATTTGCCTACCAAGCTAGATATGGATGCTTGCATGAGTGCATGTTTGTAGGAGCAACTGTTTGGATGTAGTCTAGTATAAATGGCTTCTGACCAATGGGATTCAAAAGGTCTTAACGTATGTATTCCTTTCATAGGAGATATTTATATTTTCAAAATCAAAAAACTGCATATGATGTCAAAGGAGATATGGAAATTAGAAATGTATGGTTACTTAATATAGAGGTAAAATAAATTAATCAAAATCACCTCTAAAACAAGACATTAAATAAAAAGGCCGTTTATATAACAGAATCACCTACTAGCAAATGTTAATAAACAGTTAAGGCTTGAATTACTTGTGTTAAATTAAATGCATTAAAAATGCAATTTCAGCAAGGGACCACATTTAGAGTTTAGCAAAATTGATTTGTTTTTTTTGTTTGTTTTTTTTACCAGAAAAGTAACACATTTGTGTAGTAGGTTTCTACGTGTAAATTCAGAATTACTGATAAAATGAAAAATACCCTGAAGATACAAATACTTTTACTAAGTGGGTGCACAGAAGAAGCCATTGCAAGAAGCTATTGCTTGACTAATGCGTCGAAAATCATCCAGATGGTGCTATATTGGTGTCTTCCGATTTACTAGAATACACATGAAATTAATTATCAGCAACTCCAATCCTTTATCAGAGTGAGGAAATGGATCAATGTGGTTAGCTTACTGAACTACTGCAGTTTATTAAGTGTCAAGGGGGTCTATAGTTTAAAAATACTACCACATATGGCTAAAACATACATTTCTTAATGACGAGCCATATCAATCAAATGCAATCCTGGACAGAAGAGCCAGATATCTAAGTTTGAAGAGGAAAATTAACTGCATAGTATATACTAAACTAAAGAAATGTGTCAGGAATGAGTTACAAGGAAACAAAAATATTGTGTTATGTGGAAATATAAATATAAATGAAAAGATAAAACATGGATATAAATTAAATAATAAAAATAATTAACAGCACTTAAAAGTATGGAGAAATCATTCAATATACCATTTTATCATAGAAGTCGTAACATAAAGAATTTAAATATCTTTAAAAAGAACGTAAGGACACAGTGTACCTCCCTGAGGTACACCTGGGATGTGAAATGCTTTTTTTTTTTGGGAGTTAAAGATGGCTGCAGATAACTAATGAGTTGAATTGACACATTTTAAACCAAACTTTCTCATATAATCTCTAAATATTATATAATCTCATGTCGTCATAAATGTTTTTGTATGTGTACAAATACTCAAGTTGCTCTTGCTTTTTGCTCTTTGCTCTTTTCTCTTGCTTTAAGTCTTACTTTTAAAATTTCTTAAAGAATTATTTCATAAAATTGGCAGCAGCAAAATACAGGCCAAATTTCTTTCCCTATCTCATTTTTAAAATCACATAAAAACTGCATCATGTCTACAAATAAACTTATGTTAAAGCTTTTCCTTTATTTTAATGCTAATGTAAAAAAAAAAACATAAAAAATGTCAGAGCATTAAATATTTTCTTTTACAATCCGTTTTCTGACGTTCTTGGTGTTTAGTCTCTACTGACATCTTGCAAGATCTTGCAACTGCAAAAGCTGCATTCACAAGCCTTCTGAGCTGATGTGGTTACACCAACAAATACTAAAAAACAGAATGAGAGGCTTTAAATATAATCCTATGCATTATAAAAAGCAAATGTAAACTAAAAAAGCAAATAAAAAATCTAATTGCAACAACAAATGACAAAAAAACTACTTTAGAAGTTATAACTATTGGATTTTGTGCTTGAACTGCTGAACACTAAACAAACAGCCAGTGACAAGTCTTCATTTCCAAGGGTTTTCGAAACATGTTATAAGCTATTAATGGGTCTGTCAAACATGGAACCAATTAGTGAGAGAGAGGGTTAAAAGACAGGTCAAAGCTGTGACTTCAGAAGCATGCCATTCTGCTGGGTAGAGTCACACTGAAGGAGCTCATTGACCAAGTAAAGGGTTAGTTTGAAGCACAGACACCTGGTCCCCACTTGAGTGAAGTGGAAAGAAATGATGGGACCGCAGAGGAGAACATGCAGGTGGAGCTGCAGGAAGTGAATGCATGAATGTAGGTGTGTGTGTGTGATGTGTGTGCACAAGCAGAGGCGTGAGCACCTCCAGGGACCCCCTATCACACGCAATGTTCCAACATCTGGCAGTGGACTGCAAAGCTGCAGCTAACAAATGGGCTCGCAACACAAAGGCAGACCTCCTCAGACCTCAGTGAAAGAGGAGGAGAAATAATTTTTTTGGACGCCAGCCCAAAGCCGTCCTTCCTTCTTTTCTTCCACCTCTGTCCTGCAAATGCTTACGTCTGTGGTCGAGACTTCTTAACCACAGACTATCCAGGATGAATCAACGGCAGAGCAGCAAATTGTTTGTTTTCTCTTTTTTTAAACGTGCATATTTTAAAACTTCATTGCACTAGTACTTCCCTCCCTTTTATGTAAATGTTTTCTTTTTCTTCCATAAGATCATTTGAGGTCAATTCCTTGTGATCTTGAGAGCAATCAACATATCCTTTCCTGTGTTTCTTTGTCTTCCTAAGACATAAACTAAAAATCACAGTAAAGACTATTTAATACGGCAGCAGATTTAGTGAGACTGTTTGTTGTGGTGTCTAATAATTGTGTTTTATTTCCTCCTGAATTCGACCTTACATGCAACGGGACATTTGTGGACCAGATGTGTGCTTTCTCTCCCGAAGAGCCCCCTTTTTTTTAGTGTGTAAGGTCACGGATGACTGATATTGGCAACAAAAAAAAACACGAGGGCTGACATTGCACTTTTATCTGCATTTTATGAGAAATATTGTGTTTGGTTTCAAATCACTGAGCAGCCAAAGACCTGGCAGGGCTCAACCAAACCATAATTCTAAACAGCTCCCAAATTAGAAGATTGTGTTTTGTTTTGTTTCTAATTAATTTGGTGAGCTGGGGCCATAGAACAACAGCAAAGAAAAAACAATGGGAGATCTAAAACTGTGAATAGTTCTGAACTAGACAGGGAAAGTTTTATCACCACTTAAACCCTGCAGCAACAAGTCTACCTAATTATGCTTGGTAGTGGATTATATGACTCCTGCTGTTGGGGTAATTGTTCAGCTCTCCCAATGAGCCCATAAAATTCATACAACAAAGCTGCTGCAGACATTTTATACAGCAATACTGAAACCCTAGAAAATATGTGCCTAGTATTTTTACATAAACTGTATTATGAATGCCATAACAAATAACTGCACCTACAAAAAAGGTATACCTCAGGTTAGTGTTGTTAGCCATCTTCTACCAAGCCTGTTTACCCATTACTGCTTAAACTTTAATAAAACTACCATCATCTGCTGTACATGAGATGGTGATGAGTACATTAGAAGAGCAGAACGATAAATCCTATTGTAGTCATGCTGTAAAACAAAGAAGATAAATCTTTTTTAGTTTTAGAGTTTGTCCATTAGGACAAAATGAAAAAAAAATATCTAAACAGGTTTTAAAGTTTTCTTAAATAAAACATTACAAGCATCATCTTCATACGGCTGGTGAGTATGAAAACATGCGCAAACTTGTTAACATGTGCAAACATGATCTTCATGCCAGGTGCAAAATTATTTGGGTTTGCAAAATTAGTACCTTTTTGCATGTGTGCCTCCATGAATATGTAAATCGGTCCCAAACCATGAAAATGTATGGGTGAAACATGGGCATATTTCAAAGCTGCAATTTTTGTGCCTTTAAGGATGTTTAGATCCATCTTGCTGGGTGTGCTAGGGGGGTTATGTAAAATGTATGATAAATAATTTTCTTTAGTATTACCAATATTAGTTTTCATATGCTTGTTATGATCATTATCATATACAACTCCATGGCTTCAAATTTCTTGTTTTATTTTTTTTACAGCTATTCTCAAACTGCCAGTCGAGCACACAATTTACTAATTTCAATAAAACCAGACCACATCTTATGCTTTGCATATACAGTCTTTGTAGATCCACCCACAGCATGTGCACTTATTTCCCGTGCAATTTAGTGCTCCTTATTTGAACACTTTGAATTTCAGACCCTAGTTGTACAAAATCTCTTAAAAATATTGCACAGTGCCATTACTTAGAGAAAGGTTGAACGAGAATAGATTGTAGAGCCAGTTTTAGTGGCATAAATCCCTTTCATTGTTGTTGAGGAATTCTTGCTAAAACTAATTTGTTTTGACTCAGTGTTTTTAAATGTTCCACAGTAAAAACCTTTGACTGGAACATTGAGTCACTTGGATTCTTCCGTTTTACATTCACTCTAATATGAATTTGCTGAAGAGAAGCGTCGTCTCATAGGTGATTGATTTTGGACCAAATTTGGGCTGCCGAATAGATTGCCTTGCCAAAATGACATACTCACAACTCGACTATATCTAGGCTATCTAATCTAAAGGTTAATCGGCTTACAATCATTGGGGTTAATGCATCGCTGATAGCCTCAGCAACAGGCTGGTTGGCGGATTTAATACAAAAATCCACCACATCCTGTATGACAAATCATTTCCTTACATTTGCACACAAAGTACCAAGATGGAGCACATCCTGGTCTCTATTGT